GTAGCGTATGATCAAGAGCCAATGATACTGAAGAAGCCCAAGATGCATTGAAGGAATTGGCAAAGAACAAGGCACCAGGAATTGATAGAATAAAAACTGAAATCTTTCAAGAAAGTGAAGCGGCACAAGAGGCACTCACTCATCTCTGCCAAGAAATTTGGAAGACAACTATCTGACCAACTAATTGGAAGAGATCCATTATTTGCACCCATTCCAAAGAGAGATGACCCAACAGAATGCAGAAATCATCGGACAGTATCTTTTATATCCCATGCGAGTAAAGTTTTACTAAAGGTAATATAGAAACAGCTGTAAGCATACATTGACAGAGAACTTCAGAGGTTCAAGCTGAATTCCGAAGAGTCCATGGAATGAGGAATATCACTGCTGATGTCCGATGGATCTTGGCTGAAAGCAGAGAATACCAGAAAGATGTTTACTTGTGCTTTATTGAGTACACAAAGGCTTTAGATTGTGTAGATCATGACAAGCTATGGACAACATTGCAAAGTATGAGTATTCCAAAACACTTAATTGTGCTCATGAGGAATCTGTACATGGACCAAGAGGCAGTTGTTTGAACAGAACATGGGAACACTGAATGGTTTAAAATGAAGAAAGGTGTGCGACAGGATTGTATTCTTTCACCATACTTATTCAACATGTATGCTGCGCAAATAATCTGAGAAGCTGGATCATATGAAGAAAAACGTGGCATTAGGATTGGAGGAAGACTCATTAACCACCTGCGATATGCAGATGATACAACCTTGCTTGCTGAAAGTGAAGAGGACTTAAAATATTTACTGATGAAGATCAAAGAGCACAGTCTTCTATATGGATTGCATCTCAATATAAAGAAAACAAAAATCCTCACCACTGGACCAATAAACAACATTCATATCAATGGAGAAAAGATTGAAGTTGTCAAGGACTTCATTCTTCTTGGACCAACTATCAACACTCACGGAAGCAGCAGTCAAGAAACCAAACGACATTATTTCATTAGGCAAATCTGATGCACAAGACCTTTTTAAAGCATCGAAGAGCAATGATGTCAGCTTGAGGACTAAGGTGCACCTGACCCAAGCCATGCTATTTTCAATAACCTCATAAGCATGTGAAAGCAGCACAGTGAATAAGGAAGACCACAGAAGAATTGATGCTTTTGAGTCACAGTGTTGAAGAATATTGAAAGTGCCATGGGCTTCCCATAGAACCAATAGATCTGTGTTGGAAGAAGTGCAGCCAGAGTGCTCCTTGGAGGCCAGATGGTCAAAATTCATCTCTCATAGTTCAGACATATTGTCAGGAAGGACCAATTGCTAGAGAAGGAATAGAGTTTAGAAAAAGAGGAAGACACCCAGTGAGATGGATTGACAAAGTAGCAGCACCAATGGGCTTTCAGTGTAGCAACAATTGTGAGGTTGGCCCAAGACTGGGCAGTGTTTCGTTCTGTTGTGCATAGGGTCTCTGTGAGTGGGTACCGAGTTGATGTCACCTAACAACAACAACAATCATTTCAATAGCACTATTATTATACCTTATATTTTGTCTTTCAAAATATTTTCCAATTTTCTTATTACTACAAAACCTGGTCTTCAAAAACATTTTTTATTGTCTCATCATCACAGTACAGCAGACTTCCTGCAGTTTTTACTTCTAATAACCCCAGTTTAGACACTCACAATCATATCCCAATACTCTCTCTAGTACTACAAAGTTGTTCCTCTTTTTATCTTTCTGTCTTACCAATCACAAAGCTGGATCAACCCAATGTTTTTGTTTTTTTTTTAAACCCTCTTGATCTTAAGCCACTGGAGAAACTGTAAAACCCATGCTCCTAAATTCCATCACAAACATATTATTTCTTTTAACTGGGCCTTCTATGTGATTAGCAATCCTTTTTTCTTTTTTAAATCCATTCCTCACTGCAGATTTCTACTGCCACAATATTCAAGCCTGGAACTCACCATAGTTCCTTCAGGCTCCAGTAAGAATTGACTACTCCACAGTAACTGATCAAATTAGGAAAATAAGGCAATCTGTCACCTTTTTCCCTTCTACCACATCACTATCCATCTTGACCTTTATCTTTTTGGTATCAAAGAATGAAATTGTTGTTGTTAGGTGCCACTGAGTCAGTACTGACTCATCACAACCAGATGCACAACAGAACAAAACACTGCCCGGTCCTGGACCAACCTCACAATTGTTGCTACGCCTGCACTTATCACTGTCATCACTGTGCCAATGCATCTCTTTGGGGGTCTTCCTCTTTTTCTCCGACCATCCAATTTACCAAACATGATATTCTTCTGTCCAAAGCATGACAGATAAAGGTTGGCCATCCTGGCTTCCAAGGAGCACTGTAGCTGTGAGTACGTTATCTCCTATGTAAACCTTTCCGCAACATACAACATTAAGTTTTACCCACACGAAAAAGAAAAACAACACATGTACCAGGGTGGAAAGAATATAGATTTTGGAACTAAGCAGACCTTGTTCAAATCCTTGTCGAGTGTTTTACCAACTGTGAAAGAGGAATTTTGTTAGTATTGTTGTTAAGTACTGTTGCGTCGGTTCCGACTCAGCAATTCTGTACCTAGTTCTTATGGAGCAGCTAGTGGGTTTGAACTTCCTACCTTGCAGTTAGCAGTCCAGTGCTTATTTTATACTGCACCAGGACTCCAAAAGAGGAAAACTGATACCTTGACCACAAAGCTATTGTGATCTATGTAAAACAGCATCTTTATGGTACCTGACATATAGTATACTATATTCTCAATAAAAAAGGAGCTCTGGTAGCGTAGTGGTTATGATTCGGGCTGCGAACCGCAAGGCCAGCAGTTCGAAACTACCAGCTGCTCCGCGCAAGAAAGATGAGGGTTTCTGCTCCCATAAAGATTTACAGCCTCGGAAACCCTGTTCAGGGTCGCTATGGGTCGGAACTGACTCGACAGCACTTAACAACAACAACAACATTCTCAATAAAGACTGATTTCACTACTGCCAGCTCTCCTTCACAACCACTTATTAAAAGAGCAATTTCACTATCTGCCTCCCATTTATTCCTCAATCCACCATAATCTAGCTACTTACATCATTGCCAACACCATACAATCAAAACTGCCTTTCCAAGTTAAGAAGTGACCTCTTACTTAGTAACGTTAGTGTCTTCCTCCCAATCTTCATTCTACTTGACCTCTGGAGCAGCTGATACTGATGATCACCCCATCCCTTCTTGAAATTCTTTCCTCCTTTGGTTTCTATGATAACACCATTCTGTTCTAGTTCTTGTCCCATTCCTTTATCCTCTCTTTCTCAGTGTCTACCACCCTTCAAACAACGATGTTTCTTCTGGTTCATAGTTCTTTTCTTCTCTTCTTTCAGTATTACCATCCCATACTAAGGCTTAAGTTGTTGTTGTTGTTAAGTGCCATCGAGTCGGTTCCGACCCATAGCGACCCTGTACAGGGTTTCCGAGGGTGTAAATCCTTACTGGAGTAGAAAGCCTCATCTTTCTCCCGCGGAGCGGCTGGTAGTTTCGAACCGCTGACCTTAAGGTTCGCAGCCCGATTCGTAACCACTACGCTACCAGAGCTATATTCTCTCTTGAGGAGCCCAAGGCTGTTAATTATAAGGTCATCAGTTCAAGTCCACCAGCAATTCAAACCCACCAGTGGGGGTCCCTAGAGCAGCAGCCACTCTATGAGAGAAAAATGAGGCTTTTTGCTCCCATAATGATTTACAGCCTTGGAAACCCTATACATGACACTATGAATTGAAATCTCCCCAATGACACACAACCAACACCATAATCAGTCTCTCAACTCACAAATGTATGTAGTATTCAGTTCCAGCCTTTCTTCCAATTTACAAACCCAAATTTTCAGTTACCCACAGTCACCTCTGGAAAGCATTTCAAAGCAAATTCATAGCTGCTGTTGTTTGTTGCCATTGAGTGGATTCCTTTGGAAGCAAGGATCACCAGGCCTTACTTCTGAAGCACCTCTGGGTATGTTTGAACCACCCACCTTTCAGTTAGTAGCCCAATGCTTAACCATTTTCACCACCCAGGTTTTCCCTCCAAATAATTGCCTTCCCAAAAACCGACTTCTCCGTTCCCTATGTCAATTAACACTACCAATCTCTCCCATCAGTCAAGTCAGAAATCTCTCACTAATCCTCCCAACTGTTTTTCAAACCTCTTGGAATTGTTTGGCCTTCTTGTCATCTTCCTGCCACTACCCCAGTTCATCTTCTCACCTGGATTAGCACACTAGTTTCCTGTGTAGGCTTCCGGCCTCCACACTTCACTTTTAATTCTTCCTCTGCTTCCCGCAGAGGTAAATCCATGTTTCTGCTTACAAAACCTTCTCAATTGTTTAGCAAGATTTTTCTTCGGGGTATAATGTTTTAAAATTTGACAAACCTGCGTTTCATCTCTAGCTAAATCTGAATACTCGCTTGGTCTGGTTTTCAGTGTAGAGAGGAGGAAAAGAAGAAAGAAGAAGAGGAGTAGAAATGAGAAGAGGGAACCGGAGCGTCTGAAGTGAGGGACGCATCTCTGGAGGAAAGAATGGATGTTTTTGAGGGAAGAGAAAAAAGTCGGAACTCTGAGGGAGGAGGAGGACTGAGGAGAGGGAAGTCTCGGAAACAGGAGTTTTCTGAGGAACTGAAGGATTGCTGAGTCTGTCTGTGAAGAGAGGGAAATCCGTGAGGAGTCCAGGACCAGATTTCAGGAGAAATTGGAAAGGGTTTTACCAAGAAAGCGAGGGGCCTATCCCGGGACTCTGAGGAAAGTGGAAAGGGGAGGGAAGGGGACGAAGGAGAGGAATATTCCCAGCCACTGAGGGGTGGGCCTTTGGAAAGAAAAGGGGGTCCCCTTGCTACAAGACCCGAGCACCAACGCTCCGCGCGGCGGGGGCGAAAATAGCAGGTCCGCGCGCTGGCCCGGGAGCCCAGAGTGTGTGCCCCACGCGGCCTCCTGGCGTTACCTGAAGCGGGACAGGGCAGCCAGAGGGGTCCCTGCGCGGGCTGGAAGGGGAAGAGGCAGCAAAAAAAGACCATAGTAGCCCTCACAGCTCGGTGACGGCGGAGGCGGCTCCTCAGCCTGCGGAGGCGATGGGGGTCCCTAGCGCAGAAGCCGGCAACTCGGCAGGGCTAGCGGCGGTGGAAAACGAGAAGGCTCTGGCCATGGCCCCGCAGTCGGGGCGGCTCTCCCAGCATATTTGGCGGGGCCGGGAGGATGAGCCAACCGGCGAACCAGGGAGAGTAGCTATAAGATCCACTAGGTTGCCGGGCCGCGAGCAACTGAAACGTCTGTCCCGCAGAGCAGGGGAGCTGGGGGGTGGGGGCTCAAGAGGCTCCGCCCTCGTTTCGAGTCCTCCCCCAGAACAGCCAATCAATCCTCAATCCTTGATAAACGAGCTAGTGGAATTATCCAGTTAACGCTTAGGAATGCCACGTGGTATGAGGGGACGCAATGGGCGTACAGAAGAGCCAATCAACAGCCTTAAACGCCAACATTAGGGAAGAAGGGAACCAATAGGAAGGAAGTAGAGGTAAAAATAGAGGAGGCAGTGTGTTGAAAAGGCGGAACCAAGAAAGAAGGAACACACCTGGGGAAAACTAAGTCCAGGAACCTGTCCGAAGGCGGGACAATAAACATAAGACAAACCAATGAAAATACCACATACAAAACGATTGGTAACTGATAAAGCCAATTAAAAATGGACGAAACTGGCGCGGCTTTTAGATTGCTGAAAGTACAGTGAATAACGAAAAACTGTCCTTTAAGGTCTCAGTGTGGGGGCGGGGGGTTTGCACTGTTACCTAAATAGTTATTAGAGAATTGTGTTGTGATGTCGAGTCAATTCCGACCCAGAGCGACCCTGTATAGGGTTTCCAAGGAGTGGCTAGTAACCTCCGAATTTACGGTTCAAACCGATTTTGCAGTCCAGCGCATTAACCCGCAGGCCACACCAGAACTCTAGTGAATTGTGACAGTAGGATCCAAAGATTACAATTTGAAATAGCTCAACAAACTGATACAGCACTGGAGGCTCATTCGTCAAGAAATTTGGAAGAGCAGGCCAACTGGCTGTAGTTATCCATATTTGTGTCAATTCCAAAGAGAGGTGACCCAACAAGATGCATTAATCATCAGACAATATCATTAAAATGGCATGCAAGTAAAATTTTGCTAAAGATGATATAAAAACGGCTGCAACCATACATTGACAGAGAACTTCTAGAGGTTCAAGCCGGATTCAGAAGAGGACATGGAACGAGGGATATCATTGCTCAGACCAACCATCAACGCTCATGGAAGCAGCAGTCAAGATATCAAAGCAATTTACAAGCTTTCAAGAGGTAACCTAGAGCAATGGGGCATGGAGGAAGGCAGAATCTCCAGTGAGTACTATCCAATCTATATAGGCAGAGCTGATGAAATGAAATGCAGAAGGGTCACTTGTGATACAATAGTGAATGATTGTTATCAGGACTGATTGTGAGGGTTGGAAATGTAAAGGTAGACGTTTTGCAGCAAGGAAGGGAGTGATTAACTCTCCAGTCTAGGAGCAGAGGTCTCTAGGACCATCAACGGAGAAGAGCCGAGAGCGGGACCCTACCCAGAGAAGCAGCGAGGCCAGAGATGGAGGCAGAGACGATGACGTGGAGTGATGAAGTGGCTGGGGACTTTGGATCCAGAGAAGGAGAGAGACAGTGTGCTGAAGAATGGATGGGGGGGTGGTGGAGTGTAGGGGGCGGGTTTATAAGGTATACCCTTTGGTCGGTTGATGATGCATGGAGGGTATTAGAACCATGGCAATGAAATGATGTACAGTGGAATGAATGTAAAACTAAAATTCTCCCATGTAAAATATCATATAATTCACAATAAAACATGAAGAAAAAAAAAAAGAAAAGAAATCAAAGCATTGCCTTAGGCAAATCTTCTGCACAAGACCTCTTTAAAATGTTAAAGAGCAAAAGTGTCAGTTTGAGGACTAACATATGCCTGACCCAAGCCGTGGTATTTTCAATAACCTCAGTGTGAAAGTTGGATAATGAATAAGGAAGACCGTAGAAGAATCAATGCATTGAAGTTACAGTGTTGGAGGAGAATATTAAAAGTACCATGGTCTGCCAAAAGAACAAACAAATCTATGTTGAAAGAAGTACAGCCAGAATACTTCTTGGAAGCCAAAATGGCCAGACTCCTCTCTCATACTTGGAACATATCAGGAGGGACCAGTCACTAGAGAAAGTAAAGTGAAGAAGGGTCAGAGAAAAAGTAGACCCCAATGAGATGGATTGGCACCATGGAAGCAGCAATGGACTCAGATGTAGCAATGAGTGTGAGGTTGGAGCAGTGCCAGGCAGTGTTTTGTTCTGTTGTGCGAAGGCACATAACAACAACAACAAAATGCTGAAGTAGCAATTCATCCAGACTAAGATTTGATTTGGTGAAGTCTTCTTAGGGAAGATAACTCTTGAGCTGATTTGAAAATAGGATTTTAAAAAATTGGATGGGTGGGGGAGAGCTGGGGGACAGATAAAAATTCTAATTGTTCAACTGGCATGTATTTCCTCAGGTTTTCCTTATGCCTACACAGCTCACAATCTCATGCCTGACCCAGACTCTTCAATACTATTTTTCTGTCAATAAATCATGTGCTGCCACCTGCTGACAGTTCAAATATCATTGTTTCACATTGGTGTTTTTTATATTGTTAAACCTGAGGCAGCCCTGCAAACCATCTCCCACAAGTCTGATTGAAAGTAGTTGATAAGTAAGCAGAGTACTGATAGGAAACAGAAATGAAAATGCCATCATGTATCAATTCTTCTCAGGTCGTCTTTACTCATTCTCCAGCTTTTTCGTGCTTAGGACACAATTTAAAATACCATAGCTAAAAAACATCAAGCTAACAGCAATCAAAAATGAGCAGAAATAGCAATATTAATTTCTGATAAAATGGACCTTAAAAAAAACGTCAACATAGGAGACAAACAAGGACATTACATAATGAATAAAGGGTCACCTGAACAAGAGAATATAACCATAATAAATGTCTATATACCTAATGAAGGAGTCTCAAATACATAAATCAATCTCTAACAAAATTTAAGAGACAAATGGATAACTATACAATAATATCAGGAAATTTTAATACACTACTGTCAAAGGACAGAACAACTAGAAGTAAACTCAACAAAGACACAGAAGAACTAAACAACACGTCAATCAACTTGAACTTATAGACATTTAAGAACCACTCCATCCAACAGTAGCACAAAGTAGTCTTTTCCAGTGCACATGGAACATTCTCCAGAATAGAGCATATGTTGGGCCACAAAGCAAGCCCCAATAAATTAAAGAAGGAAAAAATAATAATTCTAAGAAATCTATCAGAACATCCTTTAGAAGATGGGGAAAAGACCTAAAAGATATTTTACAAACAAATTGTCAAATACTAAATGTTGTTGTTAAGTGCCATCGAGTCAGTTCTGAATCATAGTGACCTCAAAGATAGAGTTCTCAAAGATCAACTGGTAGTTTTTTTGTTTTGTATTTTTTAGCTGTTTTATTGTGAATTATGTGATAATTTACATGGGAGAACATTAGCTTTACATTCATCCTATCATATATAGTTTCATTGCCATGGTTACAATCCCCTCTATGCATCATCAACCAACCAAAGGGTATACACTACGAGCCTGCACCCTGGTCTTCAGCACACAGCCCCTCTCCCTGTCTGGGTCTAGAGTTCCCAGCTGTTCCATCTCTCCACATCATCATCTCTGCCTCCATCTCTGGTGTCACTGCTTCTCTGAGTAGGGTCCCACACTCCACGCTTCTCCCTTGATGGTCCCAGGGATCTCCACTTCTGGCCTGCAAAGTCAACCACTCCCTTCCTTTTGCTACAAAATGTCTGCCTTTACATTTCCAACCCTCACAGTCAGTCCTGATAGTAATTATTCACTATTGTACCACATCAGTGCTATCCCCATCACTTTTCATCAGTCCCGCCCAGACAGATTGGATACTACTCAGGGGAGATTCTACTTTCCTCTGCGCCCTCTAGATCTAAGCTCCCTCTTAAAAGCTTGTAAGCCAGTCACTTCTTCCTTTTGTAGCGCCCCCCCCACCTTATTTTGGGTAGCCAATGTCCAAGTTGCCCATCCCTGTCTACCCTGTGTATTGAGGGGGTAGGAATGATCCTCACTGTAAAGATTTGTTCCCTTTTTTGAGCTACTGCATCCATAGGTGTAGGTCAAGTTCATCAAATTGTATCAGATTACTCTTTTTTTCTTCTTCTTTCTTCTTCTAGTTGAGCTCTCATCATCCAGCCATTGCAGCCAGGTCAAGTGGGTATTATCTGCAAGTGTGGGTACTCTTCTTATCACCTGGATGCTTCATTCTCCACTCTAGTCCTCTGTGGCTATGTCACTGAATCTGGGACCAGGAGTCCCCAGGTCTTGAAAACTGCTAGCCAACCAGGTCTCCCCCAAGGTTCACAGGAGTGTATTGAACATGGTTGGACTTAGCTCACAGCTTCATTGCTGTTTTTCCCTCACTTCCCCTTATCGGTGACCAACGTGGTCACCTCGACTGGTAGTTTTCAAAACCGACCTTTTGGTTAGCAACCCAGTGCTTTTCCTACAATGCCACACCAGGACACAAATACTAAATAAACATATGAAAAATAAAGTAAGTAAATAAGAATAAACCTACTTTGAAGATAGACAGATGGCAGCCTGGCAGCACAGAGTAAAGCTGTCCTCATGCAGCTCAACCACCACCATACCCTCTGTAGCTCCACCCACTGGGAATGAGCCAATACTAGCTCCTTAATGGCTTGACCAACAATAGAAAACAGCCAATACCAGTAACAACGCCCACTACAAAATGAGCTGCACAAACAACACACAGAGAATGGTGCACACACTTCCATTCTCTAACCATGCCCATCAGGAGACAGTTGGTGAGAGCCTAAGAACACACCAACATACAATTATCAATTGAATACAAATACAATGATAACACAATGTCTCAGAGACAACAGACGATTTTAGTTCATGCAAAGAAACAACAGACAGTGACTCAAACAAATGACCAAAATGCAGAACCAGAAAACGTTTCTGAGGAAGAAAAGGTAATAGTACCACCTGAGAAAGAATTCAAAAGAACAATATTTATATACTTTCAATGGATTGACAGAAAGGTGTAGGAAAGCAAGAACACAGAAAAAACTTTAAAAGAATTCAGATAAACACTGCAAGAACAGACAAAAGCAAATTTTGAAATAATATTAAACTGGCAAATAGAAATCCAGAAG